AGCGTGCCCGCCTCGCGGCACAGCGCGGCGGCGGCCCACAGCAGCGGCTGCGCGCCCACCAGGACGCCCATGCAGACGCCCAGGCCGCGGCCCCACGCGGGCAGCGCGGCGGCGCCGCGGTCGTGCGCCCGCGCGCCCACGCCACTCACGGCAAACTTGTCGTAGAGCTGGTAGGTGAGCAGCGGGTTGGGCAGCTCGCGGAAATAGGCCTTGCAGAGGGAGCTGACGCAGTGGATGTCCTGCAGGTAGACATCCCGGTGCAGGTCCGGGCAGCGCTCGCCGTCGAACTCTTGCCTGCGCGGGAGCAGCGGCGTCGCGGCGTCCCCCGCGCCCGCCCAGGGCGCCGCGCCTGCCGTGGGCCCGCACCGTGGTCCTGTGGCCCCGGCAAGGGCCACCTGGGTGCCCTGAGGGTTTTCYTATGGATGGGAGTTGGGCCGTGCCCGGAGCGTGTCCCCGGGGTGTCCTTGAGCTCGTGGAGAGCCTGGGCACTGTGTGTGGGCACATCCCTCCCTGGCAGCGTGGCCTGGCACGCGGGGACCCTCACATCGTGGCCCCGAGGAGCTGGCCTGGCCCTGCTGGCCACGGAGCGGGCTCGGAGGTGGCTCCTTCTGCAGCGTGGCCAGGACGCGGGGGAGAGGGGGTGCTGGGGACACTGGGGTGCCAGAGACGTAGGGCAGGCAGGGGGCACCCTGAGGATGTTGTGCACACAGGGGCACAGGATGCTGAGCGCGTGGGGCACGGGGACACTGGGGACACTGGGGACACTGAGGATGTTGTGCACACAGGGACACAGGATGCTGAGCGCGTGGGGCACGGGGACACTGGGGACACTGAGGATGTTGTGCACACAGGGACACAGGATGCTGAGCGCGTGGGGCACGGGGACACTGGGGACCGTGGGGATGTTGTGGGTTTGGGATACAGGGACCCTGGGGACCTTAGGGGTGCAGGGGACATTGGGGACGCTGGGGACACTGAATAAAGGGCCAGAGGGATGCAGAGGATATGGGTGCTTGGGGCCGCTGGGGCCGCCACGTCCCATCCCCTTCTCCCTGCCGACCTCATCCTGGCCCCATCCTCTCCCGTCTCCCTCCTCTCCCCGTCTCCCTCCCGCTGTTTCCCATCTCGGTCCTGCCCAGTCTCCATCCTCAGTCTGTCCCAGCTGGTCCCCCCGCTCCCATTCCCACCTCTGGCCTCCCCAGCTCTTCCTCCTGACTTCATCCCATCGCGGCCCATCTCGTCCTCATCCCTGCCTCTCATCCACCTCCCTCCCACCCAGCTCCCAGCTCCAGTTCCCTTCCATCTCCGTCCCTTCTCCATTCCCTTCTCCTGGGATGCTGTCTGTGTCCCCTCTCCCTCCTGTCTCTGTCTCCCTCTTCTCCTGTCCCATCTCCATCCCATTTCCTGCCTGCCTCCATCTCCATCCCATCGGGACCCTTCTCCATCCCTGCCTTCTCCCTTGCCCGGCAGCTCCCTCCYGTGCTGCGCTGTGTCCCTGCCGCCCGCTCCCCGTCTCCGTGGGCACATCCYGTTTCCCCGGGGCGCCCGTCCCTCCCGGCGGCGCCGGCGCTCACCGCAGCCGCTGGATGTTGGAGGACACTCCGGAGAGGCGGTAGATGCCGTCCACGATGCCRTGCTGCTCCACGAACTCCGTGCAGCTCCGCAGCACCTGGGGCACTGCGGGCGCCGCGTCGGCCCCGCGCCCCCCACGCCCCCCGTGCCCCCCGTGCCCCRCATGGTCACTCGAGTGCGCAGTGGCTCTGCTGGGAGCACTGGGAGCTGCTGGGAGCCACTGTAATGGGGCAGGGGATCCCAGCACTAGGAGCAGGGAGCCGCGGGGACCAGGCACCGTCCTGGTTGTCCCCTACCCGGTCCCCGTCACCCCGCCAGGGTCCCCATGGGGGCAGACGCCCCAGATGCCGAGTGTTCCAACAGGGAGCAGGAGGCTCCAGGGACAGGGACATCGTTGGGAGCACGAGGGTGTCAAGGGACTGGGGTAGCAGTGCACCAGGGTAGCAGGGTGCTGGGGTACCAGCGTAGCAGGGTGCTGGCTACTAGGATGCTGGGGTGTTGGGGTACCAGGGTGTTGGGGTACCAGAGTACCAGGGTACAAGGGTGCTGGGGTACCAGATTACCGGGGTACCAGGGTGCCAGGATACTGAGATGCTGGGGTGCTGGTCTACTAGGGTACCAGGGTACTGGGGTACCAGGGTACCAGGACACTGAGATGCTGGGGTGTTGGTCTAACATGGTACCAGGGTGCTGGGGTACCAGGGTACTGGGGTACCAGGATGCTGGGGTGTTGGTCTACCAGGGTACCAGGGTACTGGGGTACCAGGGTACCAGGACACTGAGATGCTGGGGTGTTGGTCTACCAGGGTACCAGGGTACTGGGGAACCAGGGTACTGGGGTACCAGGATGCTGGGGTGTTGGTCTACCAGGGTACTGGGGTACCAGAGTACCCAGGGTACCGGGGTGTTGGGGTACCAGGGTTCCGGGGTGCTGGGCGCCGTCCCTTGCTCAAGCGCCGGTGATGCAACCGCGTGGCCCGAGGCAGCGGCATCGGCTCGGGCGGCTCCCGCTCCCAGCGGCTTCCGGCCCACCCGCGGCACCGCACGGGGTCCCCGGAGCCGCCCGCGCCCCGGGGGCGCCCCGCTTACCCTCCTGCCCCGACTGCTGCAGGTGCTCGCGGAGGTCGCAGCCGAAGACGCGCTCCTTGGCGCCGCCTTTGCGCCTCGCCTTGTGCCGGGCCTTGAGAGCCAGCGACATGGGGGCGGCCGCGGGCGCCGCGAGCCCCGCGGCGCTGCCAGCACCCGCGCCCGCGCCGAGAGGAAGTGCCGCGGCCCCGGGGCCCTGACGTGGCCGCGGGCCCCGCTGCGCCCCTGGGCGCGCGGCGGCAGGAAGGCGGCTGCACCCGCGACGCCGCTTCCTGCTCCCCGGCGCCTCCAAACCGCAGGGCCGGGCGCGCTGTTCCGCGCTTGCACGCGCGCGTGCGGCCCGGGGCCCCGTGCAAGCCCCCTGCGCGGTGCAAGCGTGCGGCCTGCGCGGGACGGGGACGGCCTCGCAGGGCCTTGTGCCCACGCACGCCCGTGCAAGTGTGCCCGGCACCGCTGCTCCACGGGGGCTCCTGCGGCTGCGTGTGATGTGGCGTGCACGCTTGTGCACACTTGTGCATGCTTGTGCGCGCTTGTGCATGCTCGTGAGTGCTTCTGCGTGCTTGTACGTGCGTATGGACACTTGTGCATGCTTGTGCACACCTGTGGGCATTTGAGCATGCTTTTGCGTGCTTGTACACACGTGCGCGTGCTTGTGCATGCTTTGGGCACGCTTGAGCATGCTTGTGCGCATCTGAGCCTGCTCAAACATGCTGGTTTCACACACGTTTGGGCGTGCCTGACCTTCCTTGTGCAGCACTCCAGCACACCCGCGCATGCTTGGGCACGCTTGCACACGGCAGCCGCGGCACGCGCACACGCGTGCGCGCACGGGGACGCGCTCGGCGCCAGCCCTGCGCCCGCGCACACCACACGCACTCGCCCCCCGTCCCAGGTCCCGCACGGGGCTTTATTTACAAAACCAGCAGTGCAGCTACGAAAGGGCGACGGGGACCCCATCCTATACACGTATGTACACGCGGGGGGCTCTATGTACAGCGGGAGCCGGCCCCGCGCGTCCCCGCCGCGGGGGACGGTGCTGGCACCACGAGGCCGCCCCCGGGGGGATGTTTTGGGGGAGCCGACGGATGGGACATGAGGGGCGACACTTGGCTTGGGGATCAGGGACGGGGACACGAGCGCCGGTGACGCAGCGCGAGCGGGGACGTCGGCCCCTCCACGTYCCCCCAGCGCCATGTGGGGACAAGGCAGAGTCCAAGGGGGCATTTCTTGGTGGGGAGGACGTGGCCCTGTCTGTGTGTCTGTCYGCAAGGCCTCGGGGCTCCCGCTGTCCCCAGACCGTGTCACCGCACCCAGGGACATCCCGGATAAGCGGCTCCCTCCGGAACGCGGTCCCGCTCTGGTGGCTCCGGTGCCTGGGGCGCTGCTGCCACCTCCCTGGGTTAGGGGCACGTCCCACGCGGTGCCGCCAGCCAAGGAGGCGCCCAGCGCCCGGCGCGCACGGTGCCAATCCCCAGCTTCGGGACAGGACCCACGGTGGCGCGTGGGGACCGGAGCCCTGGCCCAGAGAGCAGCGCATGTCCCCAGCCTCATGCCAGCAGCGCAGGGGACATTTGGGGACCGGAGCTGCAGCRGAGGACACTACCCACGTCCCATCCCCAAACCTGCACCAGCACCTCGAGTGGCTTTTGGGGACCGAACCCCTCAGGCTGTAGCGTGCCCCATGTCCCCGCAGTRGTGCCAGCAGCCAAGGTGGCATTTGGGGACCGTGCCCCGTGCCAGGTGTCCATGCAGGTCACAAGGAAGAGGCGGGCAGGGGTGTCCCGTTCCCCCGACGCCCCCCACCCCAAGTCCTGCGGCTGGAGCTGCGGGGTGCAGCGAGGGGCCGGGGGACGCGTGGTGTCCCCCGCGGCGCCAGCGTGTCCCGTGGCAGCGCGCGCTCACACCAGGTGCCCGCGCCCGTTGATGTAGATGCCGTTGGTGGTGGGCTTGGCCTGCAGCATGCCGTTCTCCTGCACGAAGTGCGTCATGGCCTGCTTGATGGGGTTGTCCCCGCTGTCCTCCTCCTCCTCCTTGGGCTCCTTGCCCTGCGGCGCGGGCAGCAGCGGCACTGCCGGCACCTCCGTCTGTGTCTCGATCTCCCGCACCGTGGAGAGCGTCGAGTAGCTGCGGCCCTCGGCCTCCTCGCTCTGTGGGGACGGGGCATGAGGACGGGGGACCCCTTGCCCTGCCGCAAGGAGCCCTGCCCGGGGCCAGGGCACCGCTGCACCCRAGGGTGGCACGCGGGGCGACAAGGGACGCGGACGTGGGGAGGTGGGTGCAAGCGCGTGTGTGCGCACGGGAAAGGGGCTGGCACACAGAAAGGGGGCTCGGAGCTGCAGGGGCACTGGCACGCTCAAAGCAGGGGGCACACGTGCAAGSGGGCTACAGGTGTGCAAGGGGGTGGGCACACGCGGAAAGGGTTTGCACGCTCAGAGGACGCTTGCACATATGGAAGAGGGATKGCACACCAAAGGCTGGATTGCACACCCAGTTTGGGGTTTGCACACATGGAAGGGCAATTTGCACGCACAGAAGGGGGTTTGAACACACAGAAGGAGGTTTGCATGCACAGAATAGGGTTTGCACACACGGATGATTTGCACACACAGAGTGGTGTTTGCACACACACAAGGGGGTTTGCATGTGCACAAGGGGTTTTGCACATGCAGAAGTGTGTTTGCACGCACACAAGGGGGTTTGCACGTGCACAACGGGGTTTGCACGTGCACAACGGGGTTTACACGCACATAAGGGGGATTGCACGCACACAACAGGGTTTGCACGCACACAATGGGGTTTGCACATGCACAACGGGGTTTGCATGTGCACAACGGGGTTTGCACACACACAAGGGAGTTTGCACGCACATAAGGGGGTTTGCATGCACACAATGGGGTTTGCACGTGCACAACGAGGTTTGCATGTGCACAAGGGGTTTTGCACATGCAGAAGTGTGTTTGCACGCACACAAGGGGGTTTGCATGTGCACAACGGGGTTTGCACGTGCACAACGGGGTTTGCACGCACATAAGGGGGATTGCATGCACACAACAGGGTTTGCACGCACACAACGGGGTTTGCACGTGCACAACGGGGTTTGCACGCACATAAGGGGGTTTGCACGTGCACAACGAGGTTTGCACGTGCACAAGGGGGTTTGCACGTGCACAACGGGGTTTCCTTGTGCACAAGGGTGATTTGCACGCGCGTCCCCCAGCTGCCTCGCCATGCCCGCCGTGCCCCCACGCTCTCACCATGGCGGAGCAGATGCTGGTGCCACGCAGGCTGTCCCCACGCAGGCTGTCCCCACGCAGGCTGCCCTGGCGACTCTCCGTGCGCAGCTGCAGCGTCTCCTCCAGCTGCAACACCCGCCGTGAGGAACCGGCAGGGACCCCCAGCGCCTCCTTGGGCACCCCAGCACGCAGCCCCCTCACGTGCTCGTTTGGCACCCCAATTCCCAGCTCCCCTTGGGCACCCTGATGCTGGGTGCTGCCACATGCGCCCTCCCTTGGGCACCCCATGACCAGCACCCTGAGCACCCAACACTCCCGTGGTACCCAGCACCTTGAGCACCTCAGTGTCCGGGTCTCCTTGGGAACCCTGATATCCAGCACCCCAAAGTCCAGCACCCCTCGAGCACCCTGATACCCATGACCTTGGGCCCAATATCCACCATCTTGAGCACCCCAAAGTCCAGCACCAGTGTCCGTCCCCTTGGGCACCCCAATACCCAGCTGCCCTTGGGCACCCCGATGCCAGCGCTCTGGGCGCCCACCTGGGCGCGCGTGTCGGTGCTGTGGCTGGAGTGCAGGCGCCGGATGGAGTTCTCCCGGGTCAGCGTCAGCTCCTCCTCGCTGCGGGGACAGCGGTGACAATGCTGAGAGCCAGCCCCCCAGCCCCCCCCATGTCATCGCCATCCCCATGTCCCCATGGGGACACCCCGGCCCCACACCCTGCCCAGCTCTTACTACTTCTCGGAGATGCGCTTGGTCTTGCGCTTGTGGTAGAGGGCCATGACGACGATGACGATGAYGAGGACGCAGAGCAGCACGGCGGCGATGACGCCCACCACCACCACCGAGGCGGACACCAGGTCCACCTGGCGCACCTCGTTGTCTGCGGGGACACCCCGTGAGCCCCAGGTCCCGTGGGTGCAGCGAGAGCGGCGGGGAGCGGGGCCATGAGTAGACAGGTGAGTCACGGGTGGAGGGATGAGTAGATGGGCGGGTGGATGGATGGATGAGTGGAGGGATGGGTGGGGGGATGGATGGACAGAGGAACAGACAAAAGACTACGTGGGTGAGTGGTGAGAACTGGATGAATGGAGAAAAGTGACGGGACAGAAAGATGGGATGGAAGGACAGATGTGGATGGATGGAAGAGGAGGTAGAGGAGATGCAGYGAGAGATGAGAGGCCAGCAGGACAGACGGTTGGGTGGAGAGATTCACTGGATGCCGTGACACTGAACGGGTGGAGTTYGGGAGCAAATGGATGGATGGAGACTTGGGAGCGGATGGGAAGGACTGGGGATGGAGAGAYGAGGGGATGGACATGCAGGAGAGCSCAGGGARGAAGAGAGGATGGGGAGGAGGARGGACAGGAGGASAGATGGATGGTGRCAGATGGTGAAGGGATGGGAGGAAGGACAGAGAGATGCGGCAGAAGGACGGACAGACAGACGGGCAGGAAGGTGAAAGGAGACAGGACGTGCCCAACCCGCGGGCAGGGGGACCCCGGTGCCACCGGGCACCCACCCGCGGCTCTGCTGCGCACGCTGACGTTGGCGCGGGCCTCCTTGGTGGCCACGCTGTTGGCGATGCGGCACACGTAGTCGCCGGCGTCGGCCACGGCCAGCGGCCGCTGGAAGACGAGCGTGTCCCCCTTGGCCCGCACGCCGGCGGGCAGCGGTGCGTCCAGCCTGCGGGGACAGCGGGGACAGCGGCGTGACGCCCCTGCACCCGTGGGGACAGCGGGGACAGCGGCGTGACGCCCCTGCACCCATGGGGACAGCGGGACAGCGGCGTGACGCCCCTGCACCCGTGGGGACAGCGGGACAGCCGCGTGACACCCCTGCACCCATGGGGACAGCGGGACAGCCGCGTGACGCCCCTGCACCCATGGGGACAGCGGGGACAGCGGCGTGACGCCCCTGCACCCATGGGGACAGCGGGGACAGCGGCG